GTTTAAAATTCTCAAAATTTCTTACCAATCAGCAACAATTCTATAATTATAATGCCCATCAGATTCATCGCTAATAGTCTTCCAAAGTGTTTCTTGAGTAAGTTTAGTCCAAGCTGAAGACTTTTGTATTGGAGTACTTCCATTTCCAAGCGTTGAGTTATTATTATTGTTCTTCTCTCCCATTCTTCGCTTCTTTTTCCCTCCAGAAACTATTTTCTTTTGTAATATTGAATGACCATTTCCATTAATATTATTATTGTTTTCTGTATCTTGCATAGCCAATACATTCTTTTCTGATCCACCAATAAAACAATTCAAAAAATGAGCAACAGCCATTCCAATACAATGAGCTTCTACAGAACGAATAAATTCACGGAAAATGTGACGAATAGAGCGACAAAGTAACTCAACTTTTGCAATTCTCTTTAAAAAGTTAACAATATTTAATAAGGAAACCACAAAAACTTACAACAAGATATCCAAGTTTCTTATTAATTTCTAACGCCTCAATAACTTTGCCCAAATAACGCATGTTAATTCCTCTGTTGTGAAGCGCTTCTATAAAAATAATAATTAAAAAAAATATTCAAAATAAATAAACCTGTTAGAGCTACTCCATCAGCTGGAGCAGAAGCTAAATGAATGCAATCGTTGACAAATTGTGGAATTTGATTGAAAAGAAGAAACTCTGCAGCCTCTGCTACTAATTTTCGTTGACCCTAGAAAGAATAATTGAAAACTCAAAAAGTTCTAGTTAAAAAATAAAACCTCCAAATCCTCATCTGGATGATGTTTAACAGCAGTGCTGTAACAATCTGGATTTAAACGAATTACTAATGGCTTTTCTTCTTTCACTTTAGATTCTTCTTTCAATTCATCAGAAGGTTTCGCATCAACATCTTTGTCATTTTTTGCCTCTCCATCAGTTTTATTTTCAACATTTTCTTTGTTTTTAGCAGAATTTACAGCTTTTCGATTCTCATAGACTTTTGCACTAAAAAATTTACCTATAATTAATAGCAATTTAAAATCACATACTCGACAAATGTATCAACCAATTCCTGTCTTAAATAAACAAGTTTATGAGGAAATTTGCGCGGGAATCCTAAAGCTTTGGCTTTCTCTGTTGGTTCAGCATCTTCCAAGAAATTAACGTCAGGAGGAAAAGTTCTCAATAAATCCATTAAATAATGTCTTCGATCATTTCCAATAATTCCCTTAGATCAGTAAAAATTTTAAAAAATAAACAAAATTATTCAAAAAAACATACTTTACTTTCATAAGAAGAAAATAATTTAACATATTCATCCCCTTCTTTTCCATTCCAAACTAAATGAGGTTGAATTTTTAAAAGTTCTGAAGAATTTTGCAAGAGTTGAGCATAGACATCATTTGAAAGAACTGTTTTCCCAGAATCAAATGAACCATAAACTATTGGTTCGTGTTGCTCCCGATCCAAAATACCTAAATTTAACAAATAATTTATATTTATTGATCAAAAAATAAACCTGGAATAATTGATTGAGCCATTATACGACATCCTCGTAAATCAATTACAGCCATTCCACAAGTATGTAATTTAGGGTCATCAATATGGGCATATGCCTGGACAGCAGCAAGATCAGCGGAGTAGGAGGCATGAGCCGCAGCGTCACCTCCAATTTCCTAAAAATAAATAATAATTTTCTAGAGAAGATTTATCATGCCTTATAATGATCCTTGACATCAAAACCAAGTGAAAGAAAAATATTATTCCAAATAAACATTTGCATTTTTGGCTCATCTGAAGGATTAATACTGAGAACTGATCCATCAATAACCTAAAATAAAAAAACATTTTTTTTCAAAAAGAATTTGGTCAAGCAAAACTAACCGCCAATGCCCCTCTAACACAAGCTTGTAAAAAATCGGCATTCACTTTAAAACGCGCACGGTCACGACACAAACGCTCAGCAAATGTTGTTTGGGGCATATCATGAGTTGTTTGTAATTCTTCATTCCAGTCTCTAATTTGACCTGGCATATGGTCTTCAAACCCCACACGGAATGGCTGAATTTGGTCATCAGCTCTCATTTGGTCCAATTTGTTGTCAACCAGAGGAACAATCTGAAAAGTTAATCGTAATCATAAACATCTTTAAAAAATTTCAAACCCAATGGTAAAGTTGATATGGCGCTGGAAGACGTTCAAAAATGTGTTTGTCAGCTCTTGTCTTCAAAATTTGAGAAAATGTTTTTTTGAAGTGTGGACTGAGATCAGAAAGTAAATCAAAAAGGCTGTGATAAATTCGATTGCCATAAACAGAAGACTTTTCTGGTTTGAAAACATCACCAACAGATGAATTAACAAAAAATCCACGAGTACAACAAGTAATATGAAAGCGTCGTTCTTCCACACAATCAACAACCAAATAGAGAACATCACCCTGAAAATCAAACTTTAAATTAACAATTCAAATAAAAAACCTTCATTTTTCTTGGCCCTGGCGGCGGATTGAAAGATGAAAAATAAATCTGTCTGATTGCTTGAAAGGAGTTTGGAGTCAAAGACTCGTTTCCATTGTTTTTGTAATTGCTATTGAGCGGAATGAGAGGTTTAAGAGGAACTTCTCCACATCCCGGTAAAAGCCAATAAGGAGGTAAACATTCAGATTCCGAACGTATTTCTGCAGAATTTGATGATAATGGCGGTCTTGCTGATTTCCGGTTTTCATCAACAGCTTGAGTAATTTGTGAAAGACAAGTAAATGAAGCAAATTCAACGCCATTAGCAGCATCAGAAATGTCATGAGAACGAACAATCTCACGCAAATGACGAACATGAGTTCGAGCTTCTCTAATATTGTAAGGCTCTAAAATATCAGATTAATCTATAAAAATCAAATACAAAAACCATACCTTCAACAACAGTAAAAACAACTTGATCTTGAATATTTGGAATGTTTTTAATTTCTGTAAATTGATCCAACGGATTCCCTTCGTAATAAAGACGAAAACATGTTCGATGGCAAGTTGAATCCTTCTCCAAAAGCATTTGGTAAAGTTCTTGAACAATATCACCGTCGCTTATCTGAAGAAATATCAAATGGATTTACAGCGAATAATTTAAATTTAAATACCTGAACTTCAATATTTTCACCTCCAGGAACGGCTATTTTAATACGAAAAAATTTGGTTTCGTTGGAATCGTTAGAACTCAATTTTTCCTCAACAGTGTTTGTGAAGGCATCGTGTTGTTTTTGCTCTCCTTCAGGTGTTGAAGGAAGCTCGGCGCTAAGTGATCCAGAAGATTCATGTCCAGAATCATTAATAACCGTATCAGAAAGTGTTTTTTCGTTGAGCAATAATTTATCAGATGTTTGAGCATTAAGTAATTCAGAAGCCATTTTATTAAAACCTAAATTTTGGTATAAAAATTAACTAGAAAGAAACGAATGAAAATACACATGGTTGAAAACTAGAAAAATCTAAACAAACGATCTCTGAGTTTTGATCTTGTGTGTTAAGTTAACACCTTTACAAACCAACATAGAACACGATACAAAAAAAAAGACAAATTTGGAAAGATAAAAAAATAATTAAAAAGAAAACTAAATGAACTTCTAATCAAATTAAATAAAATTAAAAAAAGGTAATGGGGTAAAGAAAAGTAAGAGTATTAAAAATTAAATGGAGCAAAAAAGCTTAAAATAAAAAATATTTTTAAATTTTTTTTGGCGAGAAGAACATCATTCTACCTACTCCTTATATTCTCGAAATCGTTCTACTACTTGCATAAAACTAAAACTACTTATCTACGCATTTCTTCTCTCATTTTCCTCTTTCATTTTTCTAATATTTGTCCTGTCGCAAATGATAACGCGCCTCCTCTCACCCCCTTTTTTTCGCTTACTGAAAATAAAATGGAGTAAAATATTGGGCTGTTCTTTGCCCAGACTCAACTCCTGCCCTTTCTTCACCACCACCATCATATCAACCTTTTTTTCCTGCACAACAAACGTCCTTACCACCCTTCCCCCACTATCGGCCCTAAAAACAAATCAGCTCAGTCAGCCTATTCCTCCCTTTCCTATTTTTCTCGCTTTGTTCTTGCCAAAATATTGCAGCCTACACACTATCTCATTTATTTTGTACTAGGGTGGGCTAAACCACTAAACAAATCGAAGATCTTGGTGTGTAAAAATTAAACTGAAAAAGACAATTGTTTCCCCCTTGATTAGCTTAGAAAAATAAGAAAAAAATATTCTGCACTTTTGTGTGATCATTGAAAATACTAAATTAATATTAAAAATCATACTATCCACACTTTTACATTATTAAATGCTTAAAAGGATTGTCTTAAGATCCGTCTGTATCGAGCAAATACAAATACCAACATTCTTTCTCGCATATTCCCCAAAATTTGGTCTGTTAACCCTGTGAGAATGTGATATTTACAAACAATGATTTTTTAAATTTAAAAATGTTTACAAAAAGATACTTTGTGCTTTAAAAATCAAAGATAATAAATAATGTCAAAATTGTTTACATTACTTTTAAAAATAAAAATAAATAAATAAAGTTTTATTCCTTTAAACTAATACAAATTAAAAAAAATTTAGATTTAATTATCAATATTTTAACAGAAAAAAAGAATTGTCAAAATTATAGGCAAAAAGCCTTTTTATATAGAAAATATTTAATCGGATTTAAAATATATTTTAGAAGCTACAACATAAATATATTTTTCATTTTTAAAAATAAAATCTTAAAAATATCAAAAAACAATCTTTACTTATTGCAGATTTTTTAATTTGCGAAATGGAGTGTTTAAAAATAATATAAAACCGGTCAAATAATAAAATGTGTATTTTTTGTGTGTCATGAAGTGGTGTACTATAACCTATATAAATTAAAAACGAGGATTTTTTGCAATTTAAATTTTGTATTTAATTAATTAAAAAAATTTTTTTACAGCTAAAAATCCTCGCAAAAATAAATAAAAAAAACCTAAACTCTTTTTAAAGACTGGGAGGAGTATCTCCATAGTCAGCTTCTGGCATTATATAACTTATATCATCCCAAGGATGGCGATAAAGAGGTTGTTTAAGTCGGCGTTGGTCAAGATAATGCCCTGAAAAGAATTTTTTTCTAAATTTCCAAAAATTTCCTTTTTATACCAATAAATCCAAGACTTCGTCCCAAAACAAAAAGTCCATTCAAAGCTCCAATTTCCACCATTTCTAATGCTTCTTGTGCGGTAAACATTCCAGAATTACGCAAAATATCAACAAAAATTGTGCCAATTGCCCCATCAACATTGAGAATTAAATTGGGTTTCTTTAAGAAAAAATTGTTTTATTAAAAAAATTTTAAAAGAAAAAAACCTTTGAAGTAGTAATTTGTTCAACTTTTAATGCATAATCAAATAATGGAGTTTCTTGTTTAAAGACTTTTTTATCCAAAGCAAACTTTTTTAATATTTCAACACGTTTGTCAGGATTATTTATCTGCAATTTTTTTAAATTTTTAGCTAGAAACAAATTTTCTTACAGATTTGACTCGATGTCCAATTCCTGGAATTAATCGGCCCAACTTCTTTTGTTCATTCACAAACTGCATAGGGCTTAAACCTTTATCCAAAGCTTGAGTAAATATTTTTGCTGCTCCATCCAAAGCACCTCCAAAGCGATCACCCTTAAAAAAGGAATCAATTAAAGTTTAAAAATAAGAAAATTACAATTGTTAAAAGGCCAGAAACTAATGAAGAAATCAAATCTTTTCCAGCACGAGCACAAACCTTTAAATATAAAATTAAATTATATTTATCAATTATTATTTAGCGAACAATTGTATTGTGTGCACCGCTCACAGCGGGACCATGATCAGCAGTCAGCATTAAACAAATTTCAATAAAGCGATTTGCATAGTCTGGAAGTCGTTTCTTCAAAAAGAAATTGTGGACGAATACATTTTTTAGTTAAAAACCTGAAACCATAAAAGGCTAAGCACTCCACCAACACCAACATTATTTTCAAGTACTCGACTAATTGGAACGCCAGCATAAAGAAGTTCTTCACCACGTTCATCACATATTGAAGTCATAAATGATGCAGGTTTACGAATTAGACCAAGTTCCTAAAATATAAAATAAAAAATTAAATTCAGAGAAACAAACTTTAGCCCATGCATAGTCCATTGGTACAGGTGGAGGAGGCTCTTCGGGTTGGGGAACTATCGTTCTATTTGCTACCAATTGAGCATAAACTTTAGCAATCAAAATTCCAAAATCATCAAATGAATCAGGAACATATGCTCCAGCCAATTTTAAAGCTTTATTCTTAGCCATTGCTGTTTCTCTGGCTGCATTTGCGGATGCACCAGCATGTCCAAATTGAACATCAGAGACAATATGATCAGCGCAAGTACCAATACACCAAGCAATTAATGGTTTGGTAATTCTTTTTGATTCGAGTGCTTCGGCTATTTTATATTCTTCTTCACCACCAAGTTCTCCGAGTAGTACAAGCATTTTAACTCTTTAAATTTGAATTTTAGTTAAATAAAAAACAAATAAATCATACCTGGGATCATCTTGGAAACGTAAAATATGGTCAGTAAATGTTGATCCAGGATAACGATCACCACCAATAGCTATTCCTTCAAAAACACCATCAGTATTGTGTGCAAGAATATTGTTTAACTAAATTTATAAAAATATTTATTTTCGATATAAAAAAAACTTCGTTCGACATTCCACCAGAACGAGAAACATAAGCAACACTTCCAGGACGATACAATTTTGATGCCAAAATATTATCCATCATACCACCAGTATTTCCAATTTTAAAACATCCAGGTTTAATACCTCCGACAGTTGCAGGTCCGATTATAACAACGCCTTTCTCACGTGCAATCTTTAAAATTATAAAAAATAAATTTGTCAAAATATAAAAGAAAAACCTTAATCAATTTTCTTGTTTGATTTTCAGGCACTCCTTCAGCAATAATTGCGATAACTTTAATTTGATCAGAGAATTGAAGAGCTTCCAAGACTGTGTCAAAAACAGAACGCATAGACGCAAAAGTAATCATTACAGAAGCATCTGGATGGGAACGAAAAGCCTTTTCCATAGATTTGTAAGCTGGGACGAGCAATTCATTTTGACCAAAATAAAATTTTTGTTTATGATCCCCAGTAAAAGGATAAGTTGATGCAACAACAGAAGGAGTTTCTCGTCGACAAACATAATCGAAATCCATCATTCCCTAAACTCTAACTGATAACAACAAAAAATTAAAAAACAACTTGAATAGCTCGTGTTTGTTGTCCCCAAATAATCGCTTTTGTATTATTTTCAAAAAGGCTGTGGATTTTTTGAAAATCGTTCTCAGTTACACCAGCATTTGTTGTCATTTCATTATTTCTTACACATCCATTTGATTTAGTCTTCATTGAGGAATCAGTGGTTTGAGTTTGTGAAGTAGAAGAATCACTTTTTTCAACCTTTTAACACAAAAAATAGAAAATAAATTTAAAATCGTATTTACATGTCCAGGAGTCAACAAAAATTGTCCCGTTGTGTGAGGCGCAAGAGATGCTTCTGGGATTGGTTTGACTCCAAGAGCTGCACCAACAATGCTAGTCATATGCGTCTCTGGTCCAAAAACATGTATTGGGATGTCAAGACGAGAAGCTGCTTCTTTAAATTTGCGAAGGCCTCCTTGGTAATTTGGACCACCACGACGAACAAAAATAACCACCTTATGCATTCGAAGTTTTTCGGCAAATGTCTCAATAGCATTTATAATTCCCTAAAATAAAAGCAAATACATAAATAAGCTTTAAAACTCAAAGAAAACCTTAAAAGTTGCCGCAACATTAGTAAAATTTGCGATAGACCCACCAATTATCAAAACCTTCCCTTTAGGGTGTGGATTTCCTTCAGTCATTATGGAGAGAATGGTTTTGGCATATTCAAAAGTTTGTGACTCGCTTGGATCTCCTGAATATTCTCCATAATTTGCCAATTCTGAAGCACCATTTAAATCACAAATTGTATCACTTTAAAGTTTAAAAAATTATTTAAATAAAAATAGATGCAAACGTGAAAACAACAGAAGCTCCACCACCAGCAACCATAGTCCAAATTCGTCCACTTCGGTTGAGAATAGTCAATTTAAGAGAGGCACCTGTCTTTGCATCCAATTCAGCAATATGCTTTTCCTGGAATTTTAAATTAAAAAGAATCAATAAACATAAAATTTTGCGACAAACCTCTTTAGCTAGGTCACGACCAAATGGAGCAGGAAAATCAATTTCTTCGCCATCGCGAGTCTTCCAAAGTTCAGAGCATAAAAATGAAGCAGTCTCATCAAGTTTTGCAGCCAAGTCCAATATATAAATTTTTCCAGAACAGACAACAAGAGGATTAATCTCCAAATATGTGAAATGATTCTTCTTATAAACTTCATACAACTCCTTGATAAATGGCAAAACAAGACTAGAAAAACAAATAAAACATTTTCCTGATACAAATAAAACCTCTTCTTTGCTGAATCCAAATTTTTACCCAAAAGATCGTTTAATTCCTTGTCATTTAATTGCATTTCCTCATCCTTTTCTTTCACAGGAACAAGAAGTTTGCGAGCCTGAAATATTAAAAATATTCATTCTTGGTTTATTAAACTAAAAACCTTTGAGTCAACATCTCCAATATCAACACCACCTTCTTCAAGGAACAAAATAACGTCATTGTTCATTTGACTGTATATAGCCAAATAAAGTTCATCTTTTTGAGAATGCTCAACAAACGGTTCAAGGATAAATTTCGAAAGTCGGCCTCTTGTTTTTTCAATCTAAATTTTAAAAATAATCCCACGCCTTATCTTAACTAGCTCGGTCCTAAACTTTAAATAAACAATCCTGGAGTCTCAGGAATTAAAATTCAAAAAATAAAATCACCTGAATATATTGTCCTTTCTTCTCGTTAAACCACTTGCTCAACTCATCAGTTGTCCCAATTTTAACGAGGGAATGTTTTCCTCTGCGCTTTATAAGTTGGTCTGGTTTGATTACTCCTTTCTAAAAATAAAAATAAAAAAGAAAAAAAATAGTAAAAAATTTACTTTTTCAGTTTTCAGCCACTCGCAGTTTTGAATGGCATCATTAAATGTGTCTCCCTCGTCTAATTTAACTGCCTTTGGTTTGGACAAAGTTTGGACATGCTCCAGTGCACGATAAAGCAATTCTTTGCCAGAATATTCATTGATTGGTTTTGCTGACATTTTTAAGCTAATTAAAAGTCAATTCTAAATAAAAAAAAAAACAAATTACACGTAAATATTAAAGTTTGGTTTATTTTGAACTCATAAAAATAAAAAAAGAAAGGGAAAGTCAATTCCCACTACGACTATTTTTCATGAACATATTTTTCACGAATAAGCATAAGGAGAATGTGTAAATTATAAAATATATTCATGCTTGTTGTTTTGATGACGTTTTTCCAATATCCCGTTACGTTAAGAATTTTTATTTTTCCAATATCCTCTCACGCTCTTTTCAAGAAATATGAATAAAACGAAGACGAGCATGGAAAGGAAAATAATTTGAAAAAAATTATATTTAAAAAATATATGAATTTTTAAAAACTCCTATTATTCAAGTGTTAATTAAAATAATAATTCTAAAATGTTTAATTGTTTATATTATTTTCCTTTTCTATGTGGGAGTACAAAAGAACACGCGATTGCAGTTTTCCCTCGCCACTATTTATAAAAGAAAAGGGTGATACGTTTTAATTATGAAAAAAAATGTGGACTGATTCATCATCATTTAATATATTCAGGTGAGAAAAATGTGGCGATAATAAAATTTGAGGAAAAATCTTAAAAACACGAGTAAAAACCACTAAATTTCTGGGGCAACTCTTGTTAAAAAAATTTGCAACTTTATCAAAAAAAATTTTACGAAAAAATTAAATCAGTGGAGCAAAAAAAAAGTTTAAAGAAAAATTTATAGATTCACACTGGGAAAAAGGTTAAAATAGCTGTCTTAATTGGGCATTAAAAGATTAAAAATCAATACATACAAAGTTTAAATCATTTTGTTAAATACACGAGACGGCAGCCAAGAAAAAAAAGTGAAAATTAAGGGGTAAAAGCAAAATTTAAGAAAATCTGGGAAAAAATCTTTGAAAATTTGTAGGGGACGATTGAGTCTTACCTCCATTTTTTATAACTTTCTTGGAGGATACGGGACTCAATCGACCCATAGAAAGACAAAATGTCATTTAATCCTATCATTTGGCATTATGAATTTTAAAAATTTCAACAAATGTTCATTGTCGCGGCTGTATACGTCAAACATCTGACTCCTGTCCAGGGCCTGACCTCATCCTACGTTAATCTCAATGTTGAATAAAAAGAAATCATGTAATGACCTAAAGAGATAAAACCTCTAAACCCCAAAACACTAAACTAGCAACTGGAACACTCCATAAACTAATCAAAGAATAAATATACTAATGAAAATTTTTTAAAGAAAAGAATCAGCCTCTTCATCATCATCAAATGAGTTAATTTCTTCAGGTGTACTCTTTCCGTGTCCAGATCTTAATTCAACTTCCAAATGACTAGAGTTTGGATGTTCAAAATCGTTTGAAGGCGAGCCTTCACTTTGGACAGCACGTACAGTTGCAGCAACACTTTTACGAGACTTTTTAGCTTTCTTTAACATTTTTGCTTTAAGTGCAGATTTTAGACTAAAATGAATAAAAACAATAGACTTTCAAAAAATTTAAAATTCAATACATTGTTATTGTCCCTGGAGGTTGGATGTGAGGTTCACCATCTACTTGCACTGACCACATTTCTTTTGTTGTAATTTTAATCTAGTAGAGGAATATATTTAACAAACTTTAACAAAAATCAAAAACCGATCCTCCTTGTGCTATTCTTGTGCCAGCTGCCAATTTAGACTGAATCAAGCCAAGTCGAGAGACGTCTGTTATTCCCACAACCTTTTGAAAAAAATAAACAAAAGTAAAAAATAAATATTATCTAGACAACCTCAAGCAATCCATCGTAATGTGTAGGCTTTTGAAATCCAGCTTCTTCCTTAAAAAACTTTTTTTTAAACCTGTCCTTTAAATTTAAATCAAACCTTTGCTGTTCCCCAAGGGTTAGCACCACTCCCCCAACTGAGAACATTGAGCACAATAATTCCTTCACAAGGAGGTAGTTCAATGGGACATCCATCCACTTCTAATTCCACCCTTTTCCAAAGATCTTTACAAGTTCTATCAAAAGCTTTTTGTAATCCAATCTTCACATATTGAGTCTTGTTGAAGAGCCTAGACGAGAACTTCTCCGGGTTTGCATCTCTCTTTGTGTGAAATCGCATACAAACATCAGCATCAATTCCAATTCCAAAATAATTATTCATGATGATCATGCTTGTTTGATCTTCTGGATTTGTCATTGGGGCATCTTCAGTTTGAGCTTTTTGAGTTAATGCAGCAGTAGACGGTAATTCTTCTTCGTGGAAAACAACAGCCCAACGATCTAGCCGAACCTCCTCTGCTTCAATAACGTCACGAAGTATGTCAACGGGGCTCTCTTCGCCAGTGTAACCGCCACCCCAACGCAAAACTCGCGCAAGATCATTTCCTGTTCCAAGAGGCAATACTGCACAAGGAGGCGAGAAACAAGCTGCGTCCTTTTCAAGGAAAACTTTAAAAATTCTAGAAAAAATATCAACCTGTTTGGCAATGTCCAAACATTGAAGAACCCATCCAACTGTTCCGTCGCCTCCTGCAGCTAAAATTCTATATTTTGGAATGTTTCTAAAGACATAGAGGCTAAAATATTAAAATTAAAAATTTACTTAAAAAGAAAATATATACCCAACGAGAGGACCACCTTTGAGCACATCAAATACTTGGAATGGGTTAAGTAAACGTCTAAAGGCAGAAATAAGTTCAGTACCCTGACAACCACCACTTTTGACATTGACCAATACAAGCTATGAAAAAATTTTGATTTTAAATTTCAAATATTTATTTTAAAAAAATACCAAAGGCTCAACATCTAGAGGAATCATATGAGATTGTACATTTGGTAAACAAAGCACCACCAATTTTTTATCTTCATATATTGCATTCTGTAACCTCAAAACAGCTGCAGATGCTGCTTTAGGCGTGTTGAATGTAATGACTAAAGATCCATATTCAAAATAAATTGGTCCAATTGCACAGAAAGGACGTTCATTTATGGAGAGTAATTTCAACAAGATTCGTTCATATTGACGTTGAGAACGTGACGGGGGCAAATTGGAGACAAAAATGGCATGATCTGAATCTTTTATTAAATTAATAAATCTTTTGCTGACCATGAGGATCCTCCTTCTCTTGGATATAGAAGCGAACAACATGACTTCGCCTCAAAGAATCCTAAAATTGATTGAATATGCTAGATATAGAAAAAACAAAAATAATACCTTCCTAAGATTTCGGACCAATTGAAGCATTTCCTCTTGTGGATTAACCGTTCTTTCTGCTACACCCTTCTCTAAAGAAACCTCCTGAATCAAAAAAATAAAATGTGAAAATAAATTTTTAAATGCCTGCAGATTATATCGGCTCCAAGTAGATCCATCCAGCCCAAAGTTTTCCAACGCTTCCTAAATCATTTTTCTCGTTTTTTAATAATTAAAATATTAATAACCTGTATACACTCCTGTACACACATACGAGCAGTCACAGTAATGTCTGTATACTCGCATGGTATTCTTAACCAACCTCCATGAATTCGAACGATTGTTTTATCAGGATCATCTCTATAGCGAAGAAAAACTTGGGCACATTTTCCTTCAGGCTTTTTTACATTTCTCAAAGGAATTGGATCCTCTAACGGCTCTTCTTCGTCACCAAGTTCATGAGGTGCTTGGGTTACATAATAACTATCGCGATTACTGTCACAAATGTGGAAACGTCGCATTGCTACGTCCTAAAAAATATCAGAAAAATCAAAAGTAGAGCAAGTTAAAAATGACAATTTAATTGAGCCTGAGGTTGGTTTTTCCAGTTATATTTTCCAAATAATTTTCCAGTTATAGTATTTATAATAATCCTTACCCTAATCTGTTCACAGGATGCCGTCTTTGGAACATAGGCAGTTTTGCTTATTTTATTTCGAAGAGAACTGTTTCCATCAAAAATACGAAGTAGAAGCTGATCATCGTCACGTTCTTCTTTGTCAGGATCACGTTCTCCTCTATCTCCTTTTCGAGTTTCTCTTTCCTCTTTCTCATCAATGCCTATTGTTCTTGAAGGAGATGATGCCTTTCTGCCTTCATTGTTATTTGTTTCGCCAGTCTGAATGACAAAATTTTGAGGTAAATTTAAAAAATAAAGTCACAGTATTTGTATGAATATTCAGAAGTAAATCCATAGGCAATTCTGCTCGTGGAGTAGTTACTGCATTTGGAGGGAGTACTATTTTCCGTAAAGGGCCAAAATCGCATTGAGGACGAAATTGGCGATAACAAGTTGAATGTACAGATAAATTGCACCATTGACAACTAAAAATTTTTAAAAAAATTTTTTTAAAAATGAAATCTTATTTTTAAAAAAATGAAAAATAGTACCGAAAACCACTAAGACACTCAGCAGAGTAGCATCCTTTTTTACACTAAATTTGATGTAATTAAGAAAAATTAAAACCAAAAGACCAACCACAACACATTTGGCATCTCTAGCTAAATTTCCTTCTCGCATGTGGTGAAACTGTTTGCTTGTTGTTCGATCCAGTGAAGGGACATATGTTGATGCCTTAGAGAAAAATAGCAAGATAATTGAGCTAAAAGAAACCTCTCGACAATCAGCTAGAGCAGAATCTTGACAGTCAACATGAACATAACAGCTACAAACTTCACATTCTGAAGAGAGTGTATCGTCTGTACGTTTCCGGCAAACACAACAAAAATGCCTTCTTGAATAATTTAAAAGCTAAATAAGCTAAAAATAAAATTTTCCTCACTTAATGTGTTGTGGATCCGTCCAAGTATGCGCAACCGGATTTTTAATAAGTTGCATCATTTGGCCTGTGCAGACTGTAACAATTGAGCGCATACATGTAGCGTGACAAACAAAGCTGCAAACTGTAAAAAAAAATAATTGAATAAAAATTGAAGTAAAAATACCTTCGCAAAGATATCCCTGTGAAAGCATCCCCCAAATCTTGTCGCAACAACTAAAATATTTAATCTTTAATTTTCATGGACTGGAAAACTAACTGGTGGCAATATGTCAATTTTCCAAAAGTCTTCTTTGAAGAAAAAACATGACCACCAAAATCTCCAACACTTGGAGGCTGCTCACTTGGTGTTGGAATAATTGCTGTTGTAGCTGAAGATGTTGATGCATTTGTAGTTGTTGCTATATATGTTGTTGCAGCAGAAGGAAGTGACGCCGACGCCAAAGATTCTGCTTGTTGGACACTCATTTGACACAACAGCAAAGAAAAATTAAGTGAAAAGATTAACAAGAAACTAAAAAATTTTCATCAAAAATAGAGGAACTAAATTTGTAAAAGAAAGATTTAATATTTGACGATAATGGACTGAAAAAAAATTTCTTAAAAATGTCGAGATTTTAAATTTAAATGCTAAAAGAATAGAAAATTCAAAAAAAATTCTGGAAATATAACAATTTCAACTTACGCGAAAGAGGTTTTCTTTTTGTAAAAGGATTAAAAACGTTTAAGAGATTTATTGAAAGCAATTAGAATCAATCAGCATCAAATCTGAACCAAAACGTACATAAAGTACTTACATAAAAACATTCCATCATTAAATGCCGAGGACGATAGAGGGCATTTATTGGATTAAGACTAGAGAAAACTGCGTGTTTTGTTGCTCAATAGTGGGTCGCTGGCGGTTCAGATTGACATATACTAGGCATTCAAACAACAGACATTGTCAGCCTTTTCCTGCCAGTCGAGTGACATGGGTATCAGAGCGTAGAAGCAATGAATAGAAGAGAGTGCAAAATAAAATTGGGCCAAGGCGAGCTCCAACGACGTAAATTTTGCACTGTGTACAAGCAGGCGTAAAAGCCGAAAATAAATGCAGTGTGAAATAAGAAAAGAAAAACTAGTAGATGAGTGGATCTAAAAGCTTAAACGATAAACAGACAATGGAAAAAGGAAAATAGAAAATCTTTAAATTGAATATATCTGCCTCTATTCCCTCGCTTGCTTCCTTCCAGCCGCCGTTCTTGCCAGTAATTTTGCTCGTTTGTGTTGAGCTATGAGAATGAGGACAAGAAAAAGAAAGTATGGAAAAAAGATAAAATTTGAAGAAACCACAATGCTATTACTAAACTTAGAACGTGCAAACAAACAAAAATAAGCGTAGTAATGAGGGAAAATAGAAGATATATTTATGCAGCTGGTATTTTTCATTCAAAGATCTACAAAATTATCCTTTTTAATTTGTAGAAATTCGCGCATATTTTTAAAGATTTTAAAGATGTTTTTCTTGAACACATTTTAACAAAAATCAAATATTTTCTGTATTTAATGCAATGAAATCTAATTTTCAATCCCAAGTAAAAAAGAGAGGATGAACTCACTTGGGAACTGATTTTCTTGCATAGGAATGCTTATTGCATTTTTTAAAAAATGAGATAAGAAAACTAAAGCAGGATGTCCTTTTGAAAATTAAATAGCATCTTCTTATAATTTTATTTTGACTTGAATTCATTGAAGGAATAGTAGCAGTATGTATTTTATATAAGAATTTCGTTCGTTCGTTCGAAATATCTAGTCTAAGTGTTCCTGGATCAATCTCCAGGTATTGTGCTTCTTCTTCAGGCTACAGTTTCGAAGACCTGAGCATTATTGTTTCTCCCATTTTTACTTGCCATTTGCTCTTTAAACTTTTTGGCAAGCATGAAATTCCTTGCTCGCTTCATTGTCACATTAAGGACAGTAAATATACAGAGGAAAAGGAATGATAGTAGCACTCCACCAATTGTTAGTACTCGAACAGCTTTGAAGACATTTTTAAATATTTAGTTTAATCTTCTTTAACTTACTAGATTTTCCGGGTTTTCCAATTCCAAAAAGAACATCCATCCAATGGTTCCAGAAACGTGGAACTACAATCATTGGGAGAAGAAAGAAGAAAAGTCCAAACCATAATACGGAAAATGCCCACATTACCAAGATAAAGGGCAATAACAAAAACGGTATTTTCTTGATGGAACCAAGAAAAGCAAGTGATGAAACAACCAATAAAAGTAGATTTATCCCCAGCCAAAATATAAGAACTGGATTGGAAAAGATTAATATGTAGCCGGCGAGTGCAAGAAGTACAGATACAGCGCAGCAAATGAGAGAAAACACTGGAGCTACTTTCTGTAATAAAAAATGTTCTCTTTATACTTTATTTTCACAGAAACTTAAGTTTAGAACCTAAATAAAATAAATTCTGGTTTTCCGAAAACTTAAGTTTATAATTTAAATAAAATTAATTCTGATTTTTCCGGAAACTTAAGTTTATAATTTAAATAAAATTAATTCTGATTTTTCCGGAAACTTAAGTTTATAATTTAAATAAACCTAATTCTGATTTTTCCGGAAACTTAAGTTTATGATTTAAATAAAATTAATTCTGGTTCCGGAAACTTAAGTTTATAATTTAAATAAACTTAATTCTGATTTTTTCGGAAACTTAAGTTTATAATTTAAATAAACTTAATTCTGATTTTTCCGGAAACTTAAGTTTATAATTTAAATAAAATTAATTCTGATTTTTCCGGAAACTTAAGTTTATAATTTAAATAAACCTAATTCTGATTTTTCCGGAAACTTAAGTTTATAATTTAAATAAAATTAATTCTGTTTTTTCCGGAAACTTAAGTTTATAATTTAAATAAAATTAATTCTGATTTTTCCGGAAACTTAAGTTTACGATTTAAATAAAATTAATTCTGATTTTTCCGGAAACTTAAGTTTATAATTTAAATAAACCTAATTCTGATTTTTCCGGAAACTTAAGTTTATAATTTAAATAAAATTAATTCTGTTTTTTCCGGAAACTTAAGTTTATAATTTAAATAAAATTAATTCTGATTTTTCCGGAAACTTAAGTTTACGATTTAAATAAAATTAATTCTGATTTTTCCGGAAACTTAAGTTTATAATTTAAATAAAATTAATTCTGATTTTTCCGGAAACTTAAGTTTATGATTTAAATAAAATTAATTCTGATTTTTCCTGAAACTTAAGTTTATAATTTAAATAAAATTAATTCTGGGTCCCGGAAACTTAAGTGTAGATCTTAAATAAAATTAATTCTGGTTTTTCAATAGATCTTATTTCACCTGAACATTCCAACGACCGAATAAAAGCCATTTAGAATCAGAAGCACTAAAATCAGGGTCGTAGTGACGTAACATAGTTTTATTCTGCTTCTTAGGTGGCATAATAAATATGTTAGTTCTTTAATTAAAATTAGTGAAGTAATATAAAAAGAAAAAAATTATTTGGTATTTAGAACCAATCTTAAGAAGAAAAATATGTATTACAATAATTCAAAATTTAAGACTATAATTCATTAATTTATAAAATTGTTCGATCGAAATAATCCACTTAGAATTTTCCTCTCATCTCAGATGATCGTCCTGCTCTTTGAACCACAACAGTTTCCTCTGGCTCAACTTTCTGCAAGTCGAACTGCGACTTTGGGCCTCCGCGATAAATATCGCTCATGGAGTGAGGGCCAAGACATATGTCAAATTGAGCGCCGAACTATAGAACGAAGTGAATTTAAAGGCTAAAAATATTCTATGAAATACCTTCTCAAATACAGTTAGCGAGTCCCTGTCACTTATGTAGTAAAAGTTGACAAGGAAGAAGGCGAAAAAGAGAATAGCGAAGGCAAACTAAAAATATTTAAAAAATTCTTTGCCTAATTTTATCAAAAAATAACTGGCTAACCATGAGTAAAGCAGCAAATGGTGCAAAATAGTCGATTAGTTCCAGCACTTGTCGTGGCATCTCCAAAGATATGGAAACTAATTTGTATCGAGAAAAGGCAAAAAAGGAATTAAATGGAAAATAAAATTTTTGTCAAATTAAAACTGACATCATTTCTACTCTTTTCTCAATTTCCGTCACTGCGCAACCATAAAATAATAGATTAAAACGAATGAAGAATCGATCAAGCAATGCAATATGATCGGCCAATTTTGTACTTATTTCAACTTATTGACATGAATCAAACCAAAAATAAGAGCCTTATTTTTTAACAAAAGTTTTTGTTATTGGAGGACTGCGCAAAAAATATAGAAGTTAAACATCAATTGCCTTTTCAAGAAGGAATATTGCCTTTGTAGTAGAAAGATAATGATTGTCAACTGTTTATGCGATAAAATCGCTTAATTATTTGTGTAATTCCGTCTCAATTACTTAGGCAAGTTCAAGAGGAGGGTTGAAAAAGGAGTTCAGTAGATAAAATTTATAAAACAAATTTGAATATATTGAGGAGGTAATGTTTAAAATTATGACAACCATGTCAAAACTAGAAAAATGTATATTATAGAATCTATACTCATTTTCTATTCGTCTTCTTGCCAGAACTGTTTGCCGAATCTTTTCCTTGCGGGTTCCCTTTATTCAACATATGCGTTAGATATGAAGCGCTGGAAGTTAACGCCCTGGGACTCATACAAACATTGGTCCAGTCAAAGGAGGCATAATAATCTGCCTCACTATTTTGTATTTTTGTTGTATCCTTTGGTTGATGAATCGAGAGTATATCATAAAGCGAGTTTGAACGCTTGAAACTATTGCTACGAGTAGTGCTTAACTAAATTTAAAAAACTGGATAATTTTAAAAATTTATTAATCTAACCTCCTTCAATGCTGTTGTTGCCATGGGACAAATTTGTACGTAGTCTATATTTTCATTGCTTACTGGCATCGTTCCTGCACCATTCGAGTATATTGGGTTAAAGCTATGGTGCAATAAAACTTCATCAGAAGGGGCATTCCTCTCATTTATCATTAGTTCGTCAATGTCTGCATAATCACCTTAAATACAAAAAAATTCACTTTAATAATCAAAAAATTTACCATCAAATTTTGACAAAAGTTGTAAAGGTTTCGGCATACATGGCTAAAGAATTATTTAAAAAAATTAAAAATGGTTAGCACCTGAGATGAGATTTTACGTGGAGGAAGAGGAGGGGGATGTTGTGGAGGTACTGGCACTTCAACAACCTTAAATTGCCAGCGACTATTTAAATTTATTTAACATTAAAATACCTTATTTGATTTTCCACTTGCTCGATTTCTACCACCTCTTAGAAACATAATTCTCGAATTTAATTCACTACAAATACTCAAACTTCTTTCGCTCATGTTTGAAGACCTTCCATTGGAGATCGAATTCTCTTTTAAGGAAGTGACAGAAAATCCACGTATTTTGAAGTCTGGATCACGGAGATCCTTTAAATTGTATTAAGTTATTTAATATAAATTATTTAATAAACCTCAAGACTAATAGCCAATGAATTGTTTTGGTTGAGTCCTGTGGACGAGGTAGATTCACTACAAAGATTTCCATAAGTATTTTGTTCCGCAACAGAAGTGTGCCGAGTTCCGCTAGTGTGAGCTGTTGAAATTGATTGTGAGGTTGATCTTAAGTTAGTAAATTTTTAAAATAAAAAGTCTCTATAATTATCAAGCAAAAACATATGGAAAAATTTTTATAATTCACAAACCTAGTTTCAGTAGAATCATCAACACAATTTTGTTCTTGTATTTTTGGATCGAAGGATTCAATATTAACTTCATCCATACAATTCTCAGCATCAGAATTATCAATCGACGACTTTTCACTTTCATTTGCTGTACTATTACGATTTGACACTGAAGTTGAACTTCTGCGTGACATTTTTAGTCTTTCTTTTCCTTTTAATACAGCATTATCAATTCGGGCAGTAGAACTAATGGAAGAGTCAAAAGATTCATCTCTTACAAGCCTAGATGGCCTGCAGGGTAAAGGTGATTGAGCTGCTGAAAGCGGTTCTTCTTCAGTTATAGGATTTACTATTAATTTAGTCATTAATTCTTTTGTAGGCGTTATTGACTTCTTTGAAGGAGGTTTTCGTTGTTTATGAGATCCATCACTCAAATCTTTTGGATAACTATTGCTGCTTCTGTCACCATCATATTTCTGAAGAATAAAATTTTTTAATTGATAGTCAAAAATAACTTACTGAATATGAACCATCAAGATGCCTTTTCAACTTCTGAGCTAATGATCTTCTTATTTTAGAGCCAGAAGAGAGAATATGCAGATCAATTAATGGTTTAACAAGGCCCGGTGGAGGGATTTCGAAAATTGAATTTGCAACCGGCTCAGATGCAAGTAGTTGTTGATTTAAAAATTGTGCTGGAGTGCCCTCAATAAAGTGAAAGTCTTCCACTAACCCATTGTTTATAATGTTGCTGCCTCCTCTACTTCGAATTGGTCCATCAATCAAATCCTCAACAGAGTCCACAATTTCGTGCTCACAACCAAGGTCAACAGGAATGGCGTAATGCCCCTCTTCAAAAGATTTCTTCTTTGGAGGTGGTGGTCCAGGACCATTTTCATCAGAATTGTACGAAGCACGAAAAGCTTCTAAAAAATTGAAAAGAATTTAAAAAAAAATAATTAAATAAAGCTTGAACATAAGTATTTAAAAAGCAGCAACAATTCAATGAAGAACAAAAAATTTATTTGAATCTCTTTATAAGATGAGTATCAGAATTTGAGCGATACGTTTTATTAATTAACATAAGGCAGCGTATTAAAAAATGATATGGCAAGTATTGAGATATTTTATAATTAGAATACTTATATGTTAAAATAGTAAAGCATAAATAAATTAGAACTTAAAAGGCAAAAATAAAGCTCATAATAAAAGCTCAAAATATAAATAAAGAACATAACAAGAGGTCATTTTTAAATAAATAATTAAAAAGCAGCTGCCACCATAGAATTTAAATAAAGCGAATTAAAAGTTTTTCGCTCCATTTCATTAGCATATAACGAAGGAAAAATTTGATTATGCTGACCATCGTTTTCATTAGCATATAGAGAGGTAAACAGCGGGATAGGTGAATGATGTCCCTCACTATTGTCATTTGCATAAAATATTGGCGATGGAGCAAAAAATTGTTGCATTGGATGATTAGCTGTTGATGTTTGACCCAAAGAACTGTTTTTAAGTGATGAAAGTCTGCTTACTTGATTGCTATGATTGAAATATTGCTTGGCCTGAAATTAATAAAATAAATCTATGTGAGGTAAAAATGATTATATAGGGATGAAAAAAAAGAAAACCTTTAACAAACATTGAAGCTTTGCAGTCAATTCTGGAACTTGTTCACTAGTGAATATAAAAGTTCGTGGCTGATTCCATGCATAAGACATTGCCCGAAAAGCAAATTTGTTTTGAACACACTCAACATCTAAAATAGAAAATAAGTTCAAAAAATAATTGAGGAAACCCGAAAGGTCTTCAAGATTAAGGTAAAATCGTTGTTTAGGAGGAACTTCTTGGACAATGACAAGAGCATAACGCTAAATTATCAAAGTTTTTGTAAAAAGTATATTTCTTAACTGTGATGTGGATCCGCGCCCCTTTAGAACAAAGCCTTGTCGTAGAATTATCTTTTGGAGCAGAATAAATTCTAACAAAGAACATGGCACCTTCAAAAATTATTTTCGAAGTTTAACAAAAAAAAATAAAAAATTATACTTCGACCGCACACATCCTTAAGCCATTCTTTCCAAAAAACCAAACTTTCAACATTGTCAAATGAAAAAACTAGCGTCTGGCTTTGAATTAATATTGCAAGTGTTTTATTTGAATGTTTGAATTTAAAGCCTAAAATAAAAAAAATTACAAAAAAATTTACAGCAAGAATCACCATATTCATATCCAATGTAATTATGCAAGTAAAAAAGGTCAAGATGTTCACCTCGTTCACGCCTTTTTGCGTTTTTGAAAATTCCCTGAAATGACAAAATTATTAAAATAAAATTGCAAACAAAACAATTAGAGGCGGTTCTGCAAGACAACGGCGTTGACAAACAACATAACGACTTAACCACTAATTTAAATAAAAATTAATTTATAAAAAGCAAATAAAAAAAAACCTTATCATTAGTCAAAATTTTAAGGCTAGATTCAATTCTAAGGCCATTGTCAAAAAGAGAAACTTCTTCCTTCCTAGAGAGCAAAAATCTACAAATACCCATTTTTCTATTAAGTTAAATCTAAAATTAAATTAAAAGAATTAATCAAAAATTTCAAAAATAATTGAAAAAATACTGATTAATTTATAGTAAAATGATAATTAAGCAAAAATTTTTTAAATTAATTATATCTTTGTCATTAAAAAATATAAGAAAATTAATAGATTGAGCACGATAATAATACAATAGTCAGGTCGAAATTATTGAAGTCCATAAAATTATTGAATTATTAAGATTTTAAAAATAAACATAAAAATCATTTTTGGTTAAACGCCTTTAAATAAGAGCGGCCAAATAAGTTATTTCAAAAATAGAATGTAAAAAACCTTGCCACCCTTATTAGAAAATAATACAAAGTCCATAAGAAATTAAAATTATCCTCTGGTTGATTTAATCCAGAGAAATCCAAATAGTGCAACAATTCCCCCAACAGCAGCAAGCGAAAATAAATGTGCATAAGTATCTTTCGCAAAGTATAGCTTTTTTAGATGCCTAAAAAATTTATTTATCTTAAAAATACAAAATGAACAAACGGAAATGTTGCCATAGTTGCTAACTGAAAAAAGACATCAGCTGAAGGATTTCCAATATCTGCATTAGAAAAATATTGCGGCTTAGGTAGTTGATGTTCCCGACAAAAATCTTCTGGTTGGTACTCATAGTTTTGATCTTTGGTATATTTTCCTGTTTTTGTTGCAACAAAAAGGCAGGGTACTTTGGTCCGGTTAAAATAACGCTAAAAATGAAAAGATATTTCCTGCTATAAATAAGAAGGTTACCAAATAAATGTCGGCACAATAAGCGAATGAGTTTGGATTTGAAGAATCATACAAAAGACAAATTACATCCGCAGTCTTCTCTTGATTTGACAGCAATTCATTTTGTGAACAAACATCCACCTCATGAATCTATTTTTTTAAAAACTTGAAATAAAATTTAAATAGGAATTAAATAACCAGAAGATGTTTAACATCAGATTTAACTTGAACTGAATTGATTGTGTATGGTATAAACTGCTTTCTTGTCATCTTATCAATATCCTGAAAACCATTAAAAACGTAAAGTTTTCTTTAAATGAACCTACTTCAATGGTTTTTCCAATAAAAGAACGGCAAAAAACTGTTTTCCCAGCGCCTTTTGGACCTATAACATGGCACCTGAATACACGTCTTTTGGTCGATTTTTCTTCTATATCCATCCTCCTATCTCTAGTTATCTTAAACAATAATTTAAACAGAAAAAATAATTATAAATAAACTGTTATTGCATCTTTTTGGCTATGATATTTGATGTTGAATCCAAGATAAGCCAAATGCTCCAATGCTTGTGAAAGATTAAGCGCAAAGTTGAGACTAAATTAGAAAAATCCAAAATAATTTAACATAAAAAACAAACGTCCATAAATTGATGTACCCATTATGTGTAATCCATCCAAGTGAATTGGATTCCACAGCATGTAACATTTCTTCCGTCCAAGGATTTGATGGGCAAACGCTAAACAAACTTTGAAGTTCATTTGAAGAAAGGCAATCATCGAAATCCTGAAAAATAAATCGTGTGAAGGGATTTATTAAGAGAGAATAAAAACAATTAGGATGTTTTGATTGTAAATATCAAATTATTGCGTGTTGATATGGTTCTACTAAAGGCCACCCGATTCGTTGAGCGGAAACGATCGATTTAGTCGCGATATGGAGAGAATGGCGGGAAGAAAAGAAAGGACGTCACTTGCCCTAAGACGATCTACTCCGCCATCATTCGCACTTTTTTTTGATAATTTTCTGCCTATCACGTTAGTTGGTTTAACTCTTATTTTGACTGATTGAACCAAAAATTAGAAAAAAGGAAATAAACAATTTGTCTACAGGAAATGGAGTAAGAAAAATAGTTATAACCAAAATCTAGTAAAAAAAATAAATTTATTGTAAGATCATCACCTCATCAAAACGTTTGAAGAGTTCAGAAAGGAAATTCAGGCAAATATCTGATGCCTCAACAGAAGAACCTCGCGGGATCTTTATTCTTTAAATTAAAATATTTTAGCAGATGAATAAATGCAAACTTTGGAAGCAAATAATCCTGTCGCAGTTGTAGATTGAGATCATGACCAAATCTCTTTAACACTGTCCAAACAGTTTCATGTCTACCTCTTTGAATGAACATCTGATGCAAATAGAGAAATCCTTCGAGTGTAAGAGCATTATCCACCAACATGTTTGGATCATAATCAGAAATTACTTGTTTCACTTCCTGCAAATATTAGTAAATATTACACGTATTAGCAAGTATACAGACAGCAATAGCGATGGGCGTCAACGGAACACTAAAAGAAAATAGCTGGAAATCCATGAGTTCTTCGTCTGATAGGAAGCCATCATTATCGGAATCACTTAGCTTAAAGGAAATCATAAAAAACAAAACAATTAAACCTTAAATATCCTTGCAAGAGCTTTCTGGCATTTCATTGAAAGCTTCTTTTCTTCTAGAGACATTAAAGGTCGAAACGGATAAACAACCTGAAAAGCTTAATTTACTTATATTTTATCCTTCTAAAAATACCGCTTTTTGTGCATAGAAAAAAATCTCAGAAATGTTTTTCATAATTTTAGCTGAACATTCAACAACGGTTTCAATTTCCAAATAATCTTAAAATTAAATATAAAAGACGTAAAAAGCATATTTAAAAGATACCATTCATTATAGGGATCATTTTGTCAATATGAGACGTTTCGTCTTGACGATCTGACTTGTTTGCTGCAAGGAGCACTGAGCGATTGTGCTCTCCCCCACCAAGTGATTTTTGAATAAGAGGAAGCCAATATGAAGTTACCTAGAATTTATAATAAAAAACAATTAAAAAGCTTTACCCTGTTCATAGTCTCAGTATCTCTAACAGAATAAACAACACAAATCACATTTGCCCGTTGTATTAGTGAAATAAGTTCATCTTCAGACTGCTCTCGTGCTAAATTTTAATTAAACGTTTAAACTTAAACAAAATTAAACTAACGTGAATAATCAATAATTTCGGTTAAAACTCCATCAGGAGAAACATCTCTAGGGATTATAACTTGTTCACAACGCGCTGGAACATTTGTACAAAAATTGTCATGTACAAGAGCCATTATTATACTTGTTTTACCAACCCCTTCTATAAAAAATAAAGTAAAAAATTAAGATAAAATATATACCATCACCGACGAGCAAAATCCGCACATCCTCAGAATTTTTAGAGCTAAAACGCTCTGCTGAAGAGGAAGGAAGAATATCATCTGTCATGAGTGAAGAAATTATTCTGTAAAAATATAACTGTAAAAATATAAAACAAAATCAGAAATTCTGGCAATAAAGCACCAAACTATTCAAGGGAAAATTTTTGTTTCCCTGAAGGGCTAGACTCAAAGGTACAAATTAAAAAAAAAACAAATTTTTAGTCCGTAAATTTTTTTCGAGCTTGTGATGAAAAACTACAAAATACTTCTACTAAATACCAGTTTTTTAATTTTTATCAAATTTACAAGAAATTTATATTTCAAAGTTATCAACATTAAAAAGGCTATGTTTTATAAATTGTTGTCGTTCATTGAAGAACCTGTAGTATTTCTAGCACTTAATTCCTCATTAACTTGTTGTGCAGTTGTCAATTGTGCTTGATTTGTTCCACGTTTTTGTTGAATGGAACAATTAAACCGCTCAAATGTGTAATGAATGAATTCACCTTTGTCTGTAATACCAGCAGGAGAACCACCCACAATAGCATCTTTCATGCCAACTAAAAAATAAAAAAATTAAGATAAAATGTTTTAATTTACTTATTGGGATATCAGCATCTCCAAAATCATCAAAGTTTGAGGTATCGTCAATTCCTTTAACTTCTATCCGAATCGGTGCAGGCGACTCTCTAGTGAGAAAATAATAGTGGGGTGTAGTTATAAACAATTGAAATACCTAATATGTTCCCAATCAGTTTTTTTGAAAAAGGAACAATTTTTAATTTCTTCAAGACCAGATTCATTCCCCAATCTTTTGTCAACTTCACAACAAAATCGTTTGATCGTCTAAAGATAAAATTGAAAATATAAAATTTTAATTTGTAAAAATACATTTTTTGCTTCCAATGAGATTGGAATTTCAGGAGGAAAGATTAAAGTTTGTTGCCAATTCATCACTTTTCTATGTGTTTCTTGTGGAGTTTCGGAACAGAAGGGAGGATAACCTTTAGAAATTATTTTTATTTTATTTAATTTAACAATACCAATGAGCATTTCGTACATTATCACACCTAAGGACCACCAATCACTAAAAATAAGCATAATTAGTCTTACCAAAATTAAAGGGATTTCTTAAAATTTATTTCTTAAAATTGTATCTTATTTTTTAAGTTTCTATTTACCATGATTTTGTATAGCCATTTGGTTGAAAGACTTCGGGCGCAATATAATCAGGTGTACCAACAGTAGAAAATGCCTAAATTTGGGGTTGTTAAAATCATCTGGTAATTATCATTTTCTAAAACAAACTAAATTTCTCCTGTTCTTCTTCCATGTCTCAGCTTTCCGTTTAGAATCAAATGGTTTTGTTGCAAAATCAGCAGGTAACTGTGAAGGCCAATTTCTGTAAAGCTCTGTTCGGTGTATCTTTTTTAAACCCGTACAAAGGCCAAAGTCGGAGAGTTTTATGTGTCCCTACTTTAAATATTAGAAAATTTTTTAAAAATTAAAATTACTTTTGCATCAAGTAACAAATTATCGGGTTTAATATCTCTATGAATAAAATTTAAATTGTGAGTTGCTTGGATGGCGAGGGCAGTTTCAGATATGTAAAAAATTGTTTGTTCCTCTGTTAATTGATCATATTTTATTAAAAGGGTCATCATATCACCTTAATAAAAATAATAATTTTAGCGTTAATAAATTTTCGGGAGTAGTAACTTATTGGACAGTCCTGGGGAGGAGTGAGAGAGGGTGGTAACTTTTGTTGGGGGTTTTTTGAGATATCCTTAAAGTAAAAATTTTAAATACCTCCAGGAAGAAATTCCATAACTAGATAAAGATTTATGTTATCTTGAAAAGAATAGAACATTTTTACAACCCAATCACAGTCGGCTTCAGAAAGGATATCTCTCTCTGCGCGAACATGTGCTATCTAAATTAATTTTCGAATAAGCAAAAATGTGCAATAATGTTTAACCTGTTCTTTTTCGAGCATTTCAGACTTTCGCAAAATTTTCATTGCATAAATATGGCCACTATCAATTTTCTGAACAAGGCGAACCTCACCAAAAGCACCGCGACCGATTACCTTAAGGGAAATTTTATGTGTAAATTCAATATTTTTTAAACAATTTTTAATTTGTATCTACCTAGGCTTGTAATAAATAATTTAATAAATGTTTAAAAAAATAACCTTAAGTGACTGGAAATCACTTGCTGATAATTTAGGCCTCTGTTTAATAAAATCATTATTATTTGCAACATGTAAATGTCGTTTAGCTTCCTTTTCTTTTTCACTGAGTCCTAAAATTATTTTAACTCTTATTAATTTTATTTTACAAATTACCATCTTTAGTCATTTTTTGTTCAAATTTTTCAGTCTTTTGATCCCTTTCAGTAAGTTGTACAATGGTTTGAGCATAAAAACTTTCAATAGCAATTCGGGTTCGATTAGCTTTGTCTCTAATATATTGAGATATCTGCGAACAATTTGACATATTCTGACATATTCCTGAAAAATTAATGGAAAATTTTATTAAAATTTGTGAAAAAAGGAACATGTGGCGGCCTTAAAAATGTAAATCTTTGTTTGTATATATTTCGTATTCTACATTATGAAGTAATACTTAATTAAAAGTATCATAATCTCAAAAGGACAAAAAACGAAGTATAAAATTTATCTCGAGAAAAATCGTTTTTAATTATCCCGTTCGTGCATTATCCTGCGATTAGATACATGTTTTGCATATTTTTATTTCCTAATATGGTTGGGGCGCTAGAAATGTTTCGCTAGTAAAAATTCAAAATGATTGCTAGTTTCTATATTATAACGGCAAGTGATTCACAAAAGCTGCTCCAAAGCATTTTCTGGGCTGCACAAGGGTCCTATCTATTTGCTTTTTCTTCAGATATTATACACCTTTTCTATAAGCGTTTTAACTGTCAGCCAGCTTATGAATCATCTTCATAACTCCCCGCATTAGATTGGTGTACGATCGATCTAGCTGATATTTGCAAAGGTTTGCAGCTTGGGAGTGAGAAAAAGCAGAAATGTTTTGGGCCTCCGACCTAAAGGTATTCATCGAAAAATTTTTTATTGGCAGTTCTTCTATCTTGCGGGATATTTTTACCTAATTTGAAGAAAATTTTGAATTTAATAGCAATATTTTAAGCAGGGAATTGAACGAAAAATAAATGAAAAATCAAAAATGCTCTTAAATTTATCAGTAAAAACAATTTGACAGCTGGCAATTATATTTTCAAATGTCTAGCTTTTTTCTCAATTATTAGACAATTGTGATGCAAAGTATTCTTGAAATAAACCGCTTAATTGGACTTGCTGTTTTCAATTGATTTTCTTTTTCTATTTTGTTTTCAATTATCTTTGTTTTGGATGGGGTATTCTTAGATTTTTAAAAGTTTTGGGTCAGGCGGCAATTTTCTATAGCGCGAAATTGCAATATAGTTTAAGAAAAAGCAAAATGAAAAAGCTTATTTTTAAGAAAATTTTCAATGATTAAACACACAGCTCTTAAACCTGAGCTACTTTGCTTTGGCATACATCGTGAAAGAAAAGGGTTTGGAGGAAAATTGTGTATAAGAGAAATAGTATGGAGAAAGAATAAGGAGAGAAAAGAGGATTTCTATAACTATGTAAAAATGTTGAATTTTTGGAAAAAAAATTTTCATTTCGCGTTTCTTTTAAGTTTTCAGTAGAAAGACGTGGCAAAACTTTTTTAAACAAAGTTTTTATTTATAAATTTTCAGATTTAGCCATAATTATATTCAAAATTTTCTTTTAATTCTACTTATTAATGGATGCTTCTAAACAGAATTGTTCTCATAAAAATCATCATAATATTGCAAATAAACAGCAAAAAGATCCAGAACTCGAAGCGGAAATTCGTTTTGCAAAGGCGAGTGGAGCAAATCCTCCCCGAATTTTACCTTCAGATGCTGTAAAGAATATTACTGAAGTTTTTGAGAATCATTGTGGTTTGTTCTTCTTTATTATCTAAGAAATTTATCTTTTTTCTAGTTAGTAGCAAGAATCTTATCAAAAATTTGAAGAATGGTCGTGCTGAGCGTAAAGCAAGATCGAGAGGAGTTAGTGGCTGTGCTATCAAAAATGACGGTATTAAATAAAGATAGAATTGGTTAAGGATTTTAATTTTAAGGAAACCGTTTTGAATATGGATTGGACTGTATTGATTTAGCTTATGAGAATGATAACCAGGACAAAACATTCAGCTCGGATTCAGAAGAAGAGTATGATGAGTACGCGGATTTTGTGCGAAAATATAGCGATGAAGAGATTCGTCAAATAATGAGAGATTATCTAGAGAATGGAAATTTGGCTGAAGCTTTAGATTCTTTGGAAAAATTTGCTCTTACTAAAGATATGGTCCATAAAATGGTTAAGGATATTTTGATGGTTACTATTGAAAATTCTGTTGGAAGTTATGACATGACTGCAAACATGCTTGCTGAAATGGTCAACAAAAAATGGGTAATTAAATAGAAAATGGCGGGTCGTATTCAGAAAAAACAAATTATTGTCCAGGTTTCATTTTCTGCAATTGCTGATATTCTTGAAGATATTGTTGGTTCTGTTGGTGATATTTCTAAGGATGTTCCCAAGGCAGCTGAGTCTCTAGCAATTCTCATGGCAAAATTGGTTGAACATAATCTTTGTACACTGAACATTCTCAACATGCTTGCGTCTAAACATTCGAGCGATGCACAGCTTGTGAAGTAAGTTAAATATCTTTCTCTTTTGTCTTAAAAAATTTCTCCAAACTACTAGGAGTTGTTATGAAGATGCAGTTACTTTTGCGAATAACCATCATCTGCTTATGGGAAAATGTGCTCCATGTGGCGGACAAAATTCTACAGGTTTCTTAATTGTTGTTATCTTTACATTATAATATTTTTAAGAAGTCCTTTCGGAACAGTTTAAGCATATTCTTAAAGAATATTTGAATAGTAATGATAAAGAAGCGGCAACGCAGCGACTTTCTGATTTACGGGTTCCTCATTTCCATCATGAATTTGTGTATAAGGCCGGTATTTTTGCTCTAGAAGAAATGCATGACCACGTGATGGACAAACTTGCCATTCTTTTGAAGGTTTTATTGATAAGTATATATTCGATGTGAATTTTTTTGATCACTTAAGGACTTATCGGATAAGGGCACTTTGGCTGAGTCTTGCATTGAAAAAGGATTTAAGCGTCTCTTTAATGATCTCGCTGATCTCTATTTGGACTTACCAGCTGCTTATGTTCTTGCACAGCGTTGGGTTAGTAAAACGTCTAAAATCGGCGTGATTAGTCAACAGATTGTAGTTGAATGTCCTCGAGAAACAATTCGGTATTTATTTTTTGTGTATGTTTTAACCCAAAATGTAATTTTATTATAGCAGCCGCAGTCGAACTTTGTCAGAAGGACCTGACGGGAAATTGATTGTGGATAATGAAAAATCAGATGATGATTTTAATAAAGATGACAAAACTAGCGGTTATTCTTCTGAAATTGGTGGTGCTGAAAGCGTACAAGGCGATCTAAGTGCTTGTAATTAGTTTATTATTTATTAATTTAGTGCTTTTCTTGCCAAGGCAAGCTTTTATTTTGTGACATTAAAATATGTAGAATATTTAATGTTTAGTTATTTCTGAAATATTTAAATTTTTGGAATAATAAGTTTGTACATAAAAGCATTCTATAAATGTATCATATTACTTAAATCTTCCAATTTTTATTGATTTTAAAAGATATGCCTGAATCTATTTTCCAAAAATATCCAAATTTTTTGAAGAATTTATCGTAATAGAAATATGTAAATATGAGCCATAAATAAGGATTAGATCACTAAAGATGAGTGGTGGAAAAGGCAATCCTGGTATAATACTAATGTTTTGAAGGAATGTGGAGAGGAAAATTAGTTAAGTGAGAGTTGGGGTTGTAATGACCGACAATAAAATACGGAAGATATTATCCCATAAGTGAATTTTAAGGCTTCACGATTTGAAATTTTCATTCCACCATATCCGGACTATAAATATAATTTAAAATTTGGAAAAGTGAAGGAATTATATTAAGCGGTTCCAGAGAATGTTAAAGATCATTCAGCAAGGATTAGGAAAAAGTTTAGTTATATTTCTTCGGAATTTATTTTTGGTATAATCACTTTGGAGCCGCCTGTGATTTATATACAATTAGCACATATGGCAATGGGTTACCCGCACTATCCCACAAAATTCTAATAACTAAATTGCTGTTGAATTATTTAGATCATCCACAACTCTTGTTGATGTACTAGATAATCCAGAATGTGAGTATGAAGAAAGCTGCGTAGGTGGCAAATTTTGTTTTGTAGTAATTGGCTTTAATTTAATTTTTTAATTGAAAATCTCTAGAATATTTACCGTCTCATATTCCGAATCGTTCAATGATTCATATTGACAATTCATTGATTCTGAATCATTTTTCATCAATTCATCGAAGATACTTTCTAATTGTAGATAAATTTCATCAAAATTTGGTCGTTTTATTTGATCTTCATCCCAGCAAAATAACATTAACTCACTAAATAGTTTTGTTATATTTGATTCAGACTTTAAAAATATTACTAAAGAGGTTCAGGACAATGCTTTGGACATTCAAGCCTTTTGCCAGCTTCAAGAAATCTCTTTACCTCTGTACTTTTCATATTTTCATAAGGTTCAATGTGACGGGCGAATATCTCCCAAATCAGCACTCCAAATGCCCAGACATCAGTTTTTTCGGAGAACTATAAAATTTAGAAAAATCTTCGACTAAATTTGTTTTATCAAACCAAGGGATCTTCTCTAAAACATTCAATAGCTGTCCAACGATAAGGCAATTTCTGCTGTTGATTACCAGATATGTAAATATACACATAGTTTTCATCATTCTCGCCATATAATTTTGATCGGGTTAGTGCACGAGAAAGGCCAAAGTCTGTCACTTTAACAACACGTTTGCTAGTATCAAGCATACAATTGCGGGCAGCCAAATCTCTATGAACAATTCGTTGACTAGCTAAATATGCCATTCCTTTAGCAATCTGAATAATGTAAGAAAAAGCATCTCCGATTGTTGGCGTCTGAAAAATAAAAAAAAAATAGAAATTAATTCACATTCAACGAACGTTTTTTCTATCAATCAGAAAATTGTGTAAATCACCACCACCCATATATTCAAGTACAATATGTATAAAACGCATTTCATCGGTAATAAAATGGTCAATATATTGCACAATATTTGGATGTTTGCATTTTTTGAGAGTGTCAACTTCCAATTTTACTTCTTCAATTGCTGTGGCACTTTTGATAATTTTCACAGCAACACGTTTTGTCTCAGTTACTCCTTTTTCTTTTTGGTAATGGCAGAGTGCTCGACATACTTTGGAAAAATATCCTTCCCCAATACATTCGAAAGTTCTCAGATCCAACTAAAATTTATAATCAGATATAAACCTTATAATCTTTAAAACCCGAGCTCCATCAGCCAACATAACAATAGGACTTCCATCATCGCCACCAGAAACAAAAGAATTTTGATTAGAATGTGCACAGTTGCCTAAAGCCAATCCGAAAGTATGAGGATCGAATGTAGACGGTCGTAATATTTCTGTGGGTGGTGGAATAGGGTTGTAGCCAGTGTCTGTTAAAATAGGGTGGAAAACGGAAGCAACTAAGGAACAGAAAAGATAAAGATACGTGAAGAAGAATCTGAGTTAAAGGAAAAAAATAAAGCCAAAAATTCACCTTGATAATTAAGATGAAAATCGTAAGATAGAATCTAATTAAAGTAGCAAGATTTGATTAATGAAATAATGAAGAAAGTCGAAAGGAAAGTTTAGATTGCAAGTAAAGATTATACTCCCGATAAACTATAGAGGACAGGAATAACTTTATCTTTATTTATCTTACCTCTGTTATTGGCACTCCGAAAGAAGGCCAAGTCGATTAATCTCTATAAAAATTGTAGAATTTTTAACTACTAATTATAAAATACCTTTGCATATTTTGGATAAAGACTGCAATATATAACAACCAAAGCAATAGAAATAAGCACAACAGCTAAAATGACTAAAATTGCACGCATAACATAACTATGAAGATAAAAAGGAGAATACTATTAAAAATAATTATAGAAACCTTGGGTGAATCTTTCCATCGCTAATTTGATTGTGTTGTTTACTTAGATCATGGATAATTGTAAAATTATTTGCAGAGCCAAATATGCCTTCAAGTGAGAGTGTTTTACAATGACCAAACGGCAAATTCATTTTACAGCGTATTCTTAAATATTTTATTTTTTTCCCACCAATTTAATTAAAAAAATTAACGTGTCAGGTAGTTGTTTATCAATTGTGCATGGTTTTCGGCAAAAAGAAATATTGAGATTTTTCATTGTGTTCAGTCGTTTTCCCCAAATAGTTAATGTTCCACTCTCTTCTCTGGTTACCTTCAAGAAAAAAATATGATTTAAATTTTTTTAAATTTTCAACCTCATTAACTAATGGTGGACAAGTATCAAGTGCAAACCCGCCGATAGATTGACACATCTCCAACATCTGTTCTTTTGCTATGGTTAATCCAGTTTCATTTGGGAAAGCACACCAAATACAATTGAGAGGATCATTCCAAGCAATATCCTCACATTGAGGATACATTGTAGGGCAACTTAAATTCATTTTTCGGACCTAAAAATAAACAATGTGGAGAGAATAAGTTGGAAAAAAACTTTATTTTTATTTGCAAAAATCAAATGATTATTTCCATCCAAAATCATTCCAAGGTGACTAAATTGGTTATTTTCTAAAGTAATATTCCAAAGAGTAGTGGCTTGATATTGTTTCTGCCCTTCCACTATAGTAGCAATATTTGCAACCTTAATTTTACAAAAACTAACTTTAAATAAATTAAAAATAACAACTCTTTGAATTGTTCCATTCTGAAATCCCAACAAAAGTGCATCTTCAACCTCTTCAACTGCAACAATTTTAGCTTCTGGTTCAATGGACAATTCTAAAAACCATAAATATAATTCAAAATAATAATATACCAGTTATTAGAGTTCCAAGTGTGGCATTAAAATTCTCTAGCCATCCTGAGCGATAAATGAGCGACTTTGTAGAATTCAACTGGCAATTTTCTAATCCACCTTGAGCAAAACGGCGGCATAAAGGCAATCTTTCATCAAGTTCCCAAGAGAACATGAAACATTGAGGGTCGCGCATTACTCCTTCGCATTGCTTTAAAATGTTTTTAAATTTTCTGTCTTTTAAAAAAACCTTTAAAACCTTTGTTTGCCATTTTGTGCTTTCAACTTTTTGACAGGTACTCCAAAGTTGTTCAAAAGCATTCTCCAATTCCTCAACTGAAAAGCGACAAACAAATGTATGTTGACTTTCAATATCATCTTCGTTGTTAATCTCGTCGCGTTCGATAACAACTAATAGCGTTTTTCCGTCAGTACTTCTACTCGCAGCAATAGCTCTTTGGTTGGCATTATTGTGTAATGAATTATCTAAATTCTTGTTTGCCCAGAAAAATCTAAAAAAAATAACCAAGTCCGTCACATGAAAGAACCAATTCCATTCTTGATTCCAGGGACTTTCCATCACCTAACTGACTAGTGTCATCTTGACAAACCCTTGTCATGCGAACATCTGTTCGGTATCTGAGTTTTTCAGCTTCGAGTTGATAGGGTAAATCTACGCGTCTTGCGCTGCCAATAAAATAGACAAACTGGCCTGGTATTTATGCTTAATTAAAGATGTAAAGAATATAAGAAACCTGAGTGAAAACTGGAAACTACGCCTGAAATATAATTGTTAAATGTTAAAAATTTCAATAATAGGAAGAGGAACCTTCCATCACCTAACTGTCTTTAAATAAAATTAACTTACGTTGTTCACTTATCTCAGAATAGTCGTGCGCAGCAAGTGTTTGTGTTTTATCAATAGCCAAAATTGAGGCACTATTAGACGAATAAATTGCGCGAACAAATAGCCGATTCTCAGGAGAGAGTACTGCTCGAAGAGATTCGGTTTGTTGAAAGTTTCGAGTTGTACAATTTACATTAGGAGACGAGGACGTAGAATTTACTGGGATTTGGCAAATTCTAAGGAATAAAGAATATTATAAATTCTGTATGTTAAATGAACCTGCAAAAGGAGAAGAAACAAAAAAGCAATATCCTTTGGGCGGCAAGAATTTGTAAATCTGATATTGATTCATTAGAATTGAGGGGTATTTTCAATAGCTCTTCATAGCCTTTGGTGTCAGTTGAGTTCAAAGTGTTGTTGAACACATAAATATTTTCATTAGAAGCAATTGCTAGCAATCGTTCTTGAGATGTAATCGCTGAAGAAAAAAGTTTTAAAAATTATTAATATTTAGTGCTAGTGTACCTACTACTTGTTGATCCTCAGGAAGATTTAAAATAGATTCACCCTCGCTAGAGGTAAGATAAGTGTGTGATTGCACTAAGGCATTAGTCCTGACGAAGATGAGTTGAATAATGGGAAGCAGCAAAATAAAAAAGGAAAAATGGCAAAGCCCTACAAGAGGGAAGAGTCTTAAACCATGCGCAGGGGCCAGTTTTTGAATTTTGTTGTTACAATTCGTTGAAATAAAAATTAGCCGATAATCTTATTAAAGAAAAAAATTAATGTAAATGTAGATCAATTGTTTTAAAATCAAATTTTCATTGGGAAAAGTTTAATGGGAGAAAACTACACGCAAAGCTTGAGAGAGTAAATCTATCTTTACAGTATTTTACTTCCCTACAAGGTATATCGCCACCAACCAAATTTTGATCAATTAAGTAGGATTAATGCAACCATTAACATAGATTTAAGAGATGGTCCCGTAAAATTTAATTTTTAAAATTTTTGAGAGCAAAGAAATTTATTTTTCCCATTTTCCACACAAAATAGACAAGGTAAAATCGATTTACGCCCGCCGTTGATTGTAATTTAGTTGGGAAGGCCTCCCCGCAATCTTCCAAAATATCAACTCAGAGGTATACTTTATTCTCACAAAGTAGAAATTTAAAAAATCTTGTTAGGAGAAAATTTGGAAATTTCTTTAATACATATTACAGAGTATGGAGTTTGTTTTACTCAAATAAAAACAAATATTCATGTACATAGAACAATGTGTTAATTTTATTTGCACTTATTTTAAAAATATTTTAAGGCAGCATGTAAGTACATAATGGTTTAAGTAAATTTAAATAGGTTATATCAGGCTGGTTTATCAAGAGAGCTGACAGTATCTTCTAAAAACATTCGACATCTTTCCAGCAATTCTTTTTGGTTAACTTTTCTGTTTTCTGGATCGGTACCAACTATCGAATCCATCTCGTGGTAGTAAACAATTCCAAAGCACAAATACCTTCAAATTTAAAAAATTGTAATATTTACATGATGCTAATATTTACAATGCAGAATAAGCCATTGATTTTCTATAAGCTTCTTTTAACTTAAGTAAGATGGATTTTAAATATTTTAACTAAAGCTAAAAATACCTGTACAAAAGTGAAGGGCGAGTTTCCACCCATAAATTCGGCAACCTTTTCTGCATAAAAAGTAAGCAAACGTTCAGTGTTCTGAAGAGTTAATTTTGTCAATCAAAAAAGCGTTGAACTAATTACCTGTCTTCTGTAAGTTCCGGAAGTGTTCAAGGAAAGAATACGACAAATATCTTCGCAAGGATTTCCAGCATGTACTGTTTGCCAATCAATGATCGCGCATAGCTTATTTGTCGGTTGTCCTTGTGCATCCCGTTCCCATAGCACGTTAGGTGTCCACAAATCGGCGTGTACAATGCAGGATGGGAAGCCAAATTTTGAACCACTGTAGTTTGATTGTTCAACAGAAGACATAGTAAACGATGTAGATAACTGATCTATTAATGTTTTGAAAACCGCCGGATCAAGCTAAAGAAGTGAATAAATAGGACTACAGGCGCATCATTACCTCTACTAATTTCTGCGTGCTTTTCACCAATTCAGCGAGGAAGCCAGGGCTATAAATGTGTTTTTACTTGTTTTTTAATTAAAAGTACCTAATTGGAATACTTCCAATAAGCTTCTCCCATTGAGGAAACCGCCAAGAAGCAGCATGAATCATTGCTACTTCTTCCAATAAAGCAAAAAGCTGAGGTTCATTGAAGCCTGGAAGTACGGGGATGGTTACGGCACGTGTAGACAAATCTTCCATAATAATTAGGCCTTGTTGTAATGGATGATGTTCATATCCGTAGTAGAATTTGGGAAGTTTGGCACGTGGTTCAAACAAGGGAAAGTTTTTGTAGAAATTTATCTCACGCTGAAAAATTAAAGAAAGTTTAAAGGAAATGATTTTATAATGGTTTGATAGTAACGACTTACAGCAGTCGCAATGGTTAAGAAGTCAGAAATAATCTCAGAGGGTTTGTCGTCCTCTTTTGTATTTTCAGTTTCATGCCGTGGAAAGGGAACCTAGAATTAAATGGAATGTTAGGTAATCAAATTTAATATACCTTCATGATGATTGAACTTGGAAAATCTTCAAAACAATTTTTGACTTTCCAATGCAGACTTAATCGTATAATGTAAGACATGAAAGCGTTTCCATTAGTAATATCCTGAAATTCTCAATTTTGTATTGACCTTTATTTAATCTTCTACCTTAGCTTCAAAACTTTCCAAGTTATCAATTATTGATTGTTGTTTTTCTTCACAAATTTGTTTAGCATCAAAAACTTTTTTAAGAACAAATGGGATAGTGAAATCTTTGATAATTATATTCTTTTGATCCTTTTGATACTTCTGTGATGCCAATATTTCGACCATTATAAATTTTAATTAGATGTCAGTAATTTAATACAAACTTTAAAATGAACAGTTATTAAAGGAAATAAGATAACAAGTGTGTATCGAAAAGAATGAGAATGATTGACTGTTTTATGTATTTAAATCAAAATTTTATTATGTAAATACTTGGTTGGCGTTCTTATCAGTTGGAGACACATGCTAATTTAAATTTAGACAAAACATAAAATGACAACAAGAGTATAAAACATTACATATGTAGTATGTATATAATTCAGTCATAAATTTTTCTATTTTATGCTACAAAGTTCAATAATAAATTTTCTCTGATTTATGCTAGGAGATTAATTTCCGCTTTATCACATACTAGCAACAATTTTTTGCTTCCAATATTTTCACATCATTTTCCTTTTTAAAATTCTGTTTGTTAATATTAAACACTCAAGTCATTTATTCAAACTTTTAATTTATGTAAAATACTCCCGCGTTCGCTTAAACAGCAACATTCGACATTTAAAGATCTACATATATTTATTTTTCAAAGATACCTTATCAAATTTACTTGTTTTTAATTATGTATCATTTGTATTATTTGTAAGTGCATTCTTATGTTTATTTTTTAAATAAAAATTTTTTTGCATTTGTCAGCTTCTCAAATTTACTTCCTACCTCTATCGACCATGTTAGTACACAACTGGCAACCTCAGTCCTCTTCTTTATCATTCTTTTCTTTTCTCCGTCCTTAAATAATGGCCCTATTTGTTCCATACACGTCATTACTCAAGAACAAATACTACATATAAATGCTATTTTCAAACCCAATAATTTTAGGGTTTATATTTTGTGAAAACAATCACGTAATTTTTTATTAAAATTTTTTTCTTAAATGTTGTTATTATTTTATTTTTATCTTTTCTCTTAAATTCTTAGAATAATTTAAATGATTATTCTCTTGCCAGTCACAAAATATTTCAAAAATCGAAAAGAGGATTAATGTATTTATTCAAAATTGGTTTTTGATCTTACATAGATTAGATGGCTAAATAAACATTTCATAGAAAAACTTCAATTTTGCTTTTTATTCTCCTTACCTCTCTATTTTTTACCAATATTGTTTGCCTTTTTATTCTCTCAATTCTTAAAATTCTTCTCTATTTCCACCACTCGACCACTTTGAACTAAATACTTAGGAAAGCCCTTAAGCTGCTGGCCTTTCCCTCAGCTCATCTTTTATTCATTCTCTATTTTTATAAATTCTCACAAAGTCTATCTGGCATATCTATTTTAGGAAACTCCAAGAGACGAGAAATTTAAAATGCCTACGGAAATTTAAAATCGATGTTTAACTTTTCTATGTTTTTTCCTTCATTTGCCATTTAGTTAGACAGCCGTTCATCATTTAATTATACAGCCAGC